TTGTTTAACTTACTTTTATCTTTTCATGATATTCGTAATCTTTTTAACGACATTTTTCTCTTCTATATTACCAGATCCCCTGCGTTTCTATCAGGCTCAAAGCCCCATCATACGAGGGGCCGAGTGGATTGCCCAAGCTTACAGCGAGCATCCACGATTCCTCCCTTGAGAGTGTCCTGGTAGCGTTGGGGGACACTGCCACACGGATCTACAAGTGCTGTAAGACATACCTGGATGAACACTCGGATGCTACAGACGTACCTGTCTACATTAGCAATGTCTATCTTGAGTCGGCATTGTTCACGACAACAATGTTCTCTGATGTTGCCATTCTTGATACTCGACGAGCGTCGGAGATCACAGATGCTCCCGACACAGCGGATCCGCAAGACGTCGGGGTCGTGTCGCTGTAAGTAAACATAGCATGCGCATTTGAACATTTTCTAAGTGAGATGATCGAAAATAATTCTTTCGTTACTCGTATTCAGGATGAGTAATGTGGACACAGTCGTGATGACAACAAAGAAAGAGAAGATAGCGTCTCTCGTAGCTGAGATCAAGGATCCTTTGCACACCTCGCGCACGGTGTGCAAGGGTGGACCGGGGGGTTTCTGTCCACTGACTGTTTACAGATCTTGTGCCACACGCGAGCATTCGTGCTCGAGGCATGGATCTGCATCGATCACCCGGATCGATAACACCACGGTGACACTTGTCGTGCACGAGAGCGGTAAGTATTGTACTTGTATGTTTATTTGTACAGTGTTAGGCGTTTTGTCAAGGCATTGAATATTGTGTTGCTTTGCAGTGTCATTCAAGAACCAAGCCCACGGCTTGGTGGTTCAACCAAGCATCTTGACAAAAGTAATCCCGCAGCTCCAACTGTCTACATTTCTTTCCTTGCCGTCGGATCAGCGCCAAAGTCTGCTGGATGCTCTTCGAGGTCGCTGGCTCGTAGGTATGATGATATTTAGATTTAAACAATGCTGATGAATACTGTATTGTATAATCATTTATACTCTTTCCCCCTTCAGGTTCATTTTGGACTTGAGGGGGGGCGCATCCACAAGACCATTGTTGACATCTCGGACGTCCCGAAACCAAACACCGATGCTGTCAACTTTGACACGTCGAGCACCCAGCCAACGTCCACACCTACAAAGAGGAGGTTTGAGGTGCGTGAAATGGAAGTATTATGTTGGTGTTTTACTTTGTTAAACAATGTTGATATTATGTAACTCACTAATCATGTTCCATTGGTTTTTTGTTTCATTTCCAAATTTTTGCAGCAACGGTGAAGATCGAGACGGTTGAAGCTTGTTTCAAATCACACGCATTTCTTCTGGGTCCTTTTGGGGCAATCTAGTCGAAGAAATGTGGGTGGGAGATAAAGTAGACAATGCCATATGGATTTTGTTCTTGTTATCGTTTTATTCGTCGACTACAAATGATTGCGTGACTAATTATCTTTGTGTGAGTACGTATGTTTGTTAAACTGTAGTATGCTTGTAGGCTGTAGTGGGGTAGCCAATATGGGGTACAACCCCAACTAGGGTTTCATATTTGTACCCAAACTTCTGCTAGTTCATCATTCTTGCCTAGTGATTCTGACATGGTATCAGAGCAGGAGGTCCCTAGGACCTACCGATCGTTTTTTTTTAGGGCCCACCACCGCTCGCATGCGGTTACCACGCTACCCCGTTCCCTAGCCTCGTAGCGCCCTCGTGCGCCCTCGTTAGCGCCCTCGCGCGCACCCTCGTTAGCGCCCTCGCGCGCCCCTTTGTTAGCGCCCTCGCGCGCCCCTTGCTAGCGCCCTCGCGCGCCCCTCACTAGCGCCCTCGCGCGCCCCTCACTAGCGCCCTCGCGCGCCCCTCGCCGAGCCGCCCGCTCGCAGCCCGCCCGCCCGCTCGCTGCCCGCTTCGCGGCCCGCTCGCTACGCAGCCCGCCCGCCCGCTCGCTGCCCGCTTCGCGGCCCGCCCGCTTCGCAGCCCGCTCGCTCGCTGCCCGCTTCGCGGCCCGCCCGCCTCGCAGCCCGCTCGCCCCGCTGCCCGCTTCGCGGCCCGCCCACTTCGCAGCCCGCCCGCCCGCTCGCTGCCCACTTCGCGGCCCGCCCGCATCGCAGCCCGCTCGCCCCGCTGCCCGCTTCGCAGCCCACCCAGTCCACCACTGTCCTCCCTTGTCCGGCGGTTCCGTCTGGCTCGTATTCGGGTTTCCACCTCCCCTCGTTCTCGACGAACCTGGTGAGCAACGCTGTCCTCCAGGATCAGTGGGTTGACACCTTTACCCCTGGCGGACAGCGTGTGGCGATCTGCACGTGCTCCAGGACCGGCCGTCACCTGGCTACGTTCACCCGTCGGCCGGGGTCGAGTCTCTACACACTGACCACTGCGTCTCCCCAGGTAGCTGCTGTCGGTCAGGTGTCTGCGTCAGGTCTGGTGGCCCACGCCTGTGAGTGTCGTTCCCTGTCGCACCAGACTCTTCTCTGGCACCACCGCCTGGGTCACCCCTCCTTGCCACGCCTTCGTGGCATGCACCGTCGCCTCCTTGTGTCCGGTCTTCCCAGGTCCCTCCCTCCCCTCCCTGCCTCGCCTGCGCCGCCTTGCCTTCCTTGCGTCGAGGGGCGGCAGCGCGCCGCTCCTCACTCCTCCTCGTTCCCCCCGACAGAGGCTCCTCTGGAGACCCTCCACCTGGACGTGTGGGGCCCAGCCCGCGTTCGTGGTCAGGGCGGTGAGCGGTATTTTTTGCTGGTTGTCGACGACTACTCGCGTTACACCACGGTCTTCCCCTTGCGCACCAAGGGTGAGGTCCCTGCTGTTCTGATCCCTTGGATCCGCACGGTTCGTCTCCAGCTCCGCCGCCGTTTCCGGACGGATCTTCCTGTCCTGCGTCTGCACTCTGACAGAGGTGGTGAGTTTTCCTCCGACCTCTTGAGGACCTTCTGTCAGGCGGAGGGCATCGAGCAGACCTTCACGCTTCCGGACTCCCCACAGCAGAATGGGGTTGCTGAGCGCCGCATTGGCCTGGTCATGGAGGTCGCTCGTACCTCCTTGGTCCACGCGGCGGCTCCCCATTTTCTGTGGCCGTTTGCTGTCCGGTACGCCGCGCATCAGCTCAACCTCTGGCCCCATGTCTCCTTGCCGGAGACCTCGCCCACACTGCGTTGGACGGGGGAGGTTGGCGATGCGTCGCGCTTCCGGGTGTGGGGTGCTCGTGCCCTTGTCCGCGATACGTCTGCGGACAAGCTCTCCTCCCGCACGCTTCCCTGTGTCTTCCTTGGCTTTGTCCCTGACGCGCCTGGCTGGCAGTTTTACCACCCCACCTCGCGCCGGGTCTTCGCCTCTCAGGATGTCACCTTTGACGAGTCGGTCCCCTTTTACCGTCTCTTCCCCTACCGCACTGCCCCCCTCCCTCCCCCGCCGCTTTTCCTTGCTCCTGGTCCCCCTCCGGTAGACCCCCTTCCCCCTCAGGGTCCTGCTCCTTCAGGTGTCTCTCAGGTAGACCCTCCTCCCGTCGCTGAGCCTGTCGAGGTCACAGGTGACTCAGGTGCTGCTGCGGGTGGTGCTGCTGGGAGTGCTGAGCCTGGGGGTGCTGAGCCTGGGGGTGCTGGGCCTGGGGGTGCTGGGGCTGCAGGTGCTGGGACTGAGGGTGCTGGAGCTGAGGGTACGGTGCCTGAGAGTACGGAGCCTGGGGGTGCTGCGTCTGGGGGTGCTGAGCCTGCGGGTACTGAGCCTGCGGGTACTGAGCCTGGGGGTGCTGCTACTGAGCCTACGGAGCCTCGGGTTACTGTGTCTGGGGGTGCTCCGGTTCGGGGTGCTGAGCAGTCTCTCACACCGCAGCAGCTTCGTGACTGGTACGTCCGACGCTTTCGCCGTCCTAGTGGCTCGGCTGGAGTTGGGGGTGCTGGAGCTGCTCGTCCTGGGGGTGCTCGTACTGGGGGTACTGGAGCTGCCGGGACTGGCTGTTCTGGGAGCACTGCGACTGGAGCTGCTGGAGCTGGGGACTCTGGCGCTGGCGGTGCTAGCGGAGTTGGAGCTGCCGACTCTGGGGGTGGCGCTGCTGCTGGTGCTGCGGACCCACCTGGTGGAGCTGCTGCTGGTGCTGAGGAGTCGGACGGTGGAGCTGCTGCTGGAGCTGGGGACCCGGCCGGTGGAGCTGCTGCTGGTGCTGTGGACCCGGACGCTGGAGCTCCTACTGGTGCTGAGGACCCGGCCGCTGGAGTCCCTTCTGCTTCTGGAGACGCTGCGCGGCCGCGACCGTACTACGTACCGCTCCTTCAGCAGGTTCTTGGGCAGGCTCCTCCTCCTTGTCCTCCTCCCTCCGTAGAGTGTCCTCCGCCTGTCCAGCCGCAGTCACAGTTACCGCCTGCCTCGCCTCTCCCTGCTCCCTCTCCTTATACTGGTCCCACAGGAGGTCTTACAGAGCGTCGTGAGCCTGAGTCTCGTCCTGCGTCGCCTGTTCGTCCTGCTCGCACTGGTAGTCGTGTCCGTCGTGAGCGTCCTCCTCCTGTCCCAGGCACTCACTACATGACTCTGCGTCCCTCTACTGCTCCTCGGCGTGTCCCTCTACCGTCTCCTCCTGCGTCCTCTTTGCCTGCCGTTCCGGACCCTGAGTCTGACCGGTATCGCGCTGAGCACCCTACAGTCACGCGTCTCCTCGCTACTGTTGTCACTGACCCTACCTTTGAGTCCTCGGCTGCGTCTGCTCTGGTCGCTGAGTTGGTTGACTTTGCTGCTGCCTGTCGTCTAGACTACGCTGCTAGCCTTGTTGCTGAGTCAGAGTCTGCGTCTGTCTGTCCTCCGTCCGTCGGGGGTGAGTGTGCTCTTGGCACGGACGTCCTTGAGGACAGGCAGGAGGACTTTGACTCTCTTGCGGCTGCTGTACCTCATCTCGTGGCCTGGTTGCTTGCCCCTGAGGGAGACCCGGATGCACTAGACATCCCCACTCCGCGCACTTACGCAGAGGCGATCTCGGGTCCCTACTCCTCTCAGTGGCAGACAGCCATGGACGCAGAGATGGCATCCTGGAAGTCCACAGGCACCTACGTCGACGAGGTTCCCCCTCCTGGGGCGAACATCGTCGATGGCATGTGGATTTTCAGGGTGAAGCGGCCGCCAGGTTCTCCGCCTGTCTTCAAGGCTCGTTACGTTGCTAGAGGCTTCAGTCAGCGTCAGGGGGTCGACTTCTTCCAGACCTTCTCCCCCACCCCGAAGATGACCACTCTTCGGGTTCTGCTGCACGTTGCTGCTCAGCGTGACTACGAGCTTCACTCTCTTGACTTCAGCACAGCGTTCCTGCAGGGCAGCCTGCACGAGGAGATCTGGCTGCGCCGCCCACCTGGCTTTACTGGGTCGTTTCCCCCTGGTACCCAGTGGAGTCTCCGCCGGCCAGTCTACGGTCTCCGCCAGGCGCCACGTGAGTGGCACGACACACTGAGGACTACTCTTGCGGCTCTTGGGTTCGCGCCGTCTACTGCTGACCCGTCGCTGTTTCTGCGCACAGACACGTCGCTGCCGCCGTTCTACATTCTCGTGTACGTCGACGACTTGGTCTTTGCTACTGCTGACACTGAGGCACTCGCTCGTGTGAAGTCGGAGCTGCAGAAGAGACACACCTGCACTGACCTGGGTGAACTGCGTAGCTACCTTGGCTTGCAGATCACCCGGGACAGAGCTCGCCGCACCATCACCCTGACTCAGTCACACATGGTGCAGCAGGTCCTTCAGCGCTTCGGCTTCCAGTTCTCCTCACCACAGGCCACACCTCTGGCTACCAGCCACTCGCTCTCAGCTCCACCTTCGGACGAGTCCGTAGAGCCGAGTGGCCCGTACCCAGAGCTTGTAGGCTGCCTCATGTACCTGATGACTTGCACGCGACCTGATCTCGCGTACCCTCTTAGCATCCTTGCTCGTTACGTTGCGCCTGGGAGACACAGGCGAGAGCACTGGGAGGCTGCTAAGAGGGTGCTGCGTTACCTGTGCAGTACATCAGGCATGGGGCTGGTGCTTGGAGGACGCGACAGAGTTGTCCTCACTGGTCACTCGGACGCCTCTTGGGTGGACGACCTGGCTACGCAGCGGTCGTCACAGGGTTACACCTTCAGCCTTGGCTCAGGTTCTGTCTCGTGGCGGTCCACCCGCTCTTCCTCTGTTCTCGGCTCTAGTTGTGAGGCTGAGATCTACGCCACAGCCATGGCTGCACAGGAGTTACGCTGGCTCACCTACCTGCTGACTGACTTGGGAGAGCGGCCTAGTTCTCCGCCAGTTCTGTACGGTGACAACAAGGCGGCTCTTGCCTTGTGTCAGGAGCACAGACTGGAGCACAGGACGAAGCACATTGCTCTTCGCTACTTTCTTGCTCGAGAGCTTCAGCAGCGCGGTCAGCTTCGGCTTGTGTACGTGGACTCGAAGGCCAACACTGCTGATATCTTCACCAAGGCGCTCCCGCCTAGTGATCATCAGCGGCACTGTACTTCTTTAGGCCTTGTGTCCACGTTTCCTCACTTGCTCACTGCTTGACATTCTTTGTACTGTACTTTATATATATCTTGTTGCTTGCTTGCTAGGTTTTGATCACTGTGTTGCTTGTCTTGTACTATATCTAGCTCTGCATGTGAACTGGCCTTGTGGCCTTTACTTGTGCTCGGAGTGTGGTGACGTTGTGATCCACCCTGGGCGTTGCTTTGCTTTGCTGGACTGGTCTTGTGACCCTTTGTTCTCCCCCACTTTGCCTATGGGGGTGTGTTAAACTGTAGTATGCTTGTAGGCTGTAGTGGGGTAGCCAATATGGGGTACAACCCCAACTAGGGTTTCATATTTGTACCCAAACTTCTGCTAGTTCATCATTCTTGCCTAGTGATTCTGACAATGTTCGGTGTGTGCGTTTGTGTGTGTGTGTGTGTATATACCGGTATATATGTATGTATATATGTACGTATATATGTATGTACGTATGTATCTATATGTGTATTTGCGTGTGTATGTGTGTGTACAATTAACCATTGCAATAGCAATGCACGTCTGTGATTTTTAAAAGAAAGGCTCAGGTCTATCATTTCACAAAAGGTTCATTGGCGCACTCAGTGACTCGTGTGCGACCACTTCGAACTGGATTTGATAGAGATTACCTTTTTTTTAGACTTTACAGATTGCGTTGTTTCATGTGGTAGTTGATTATTCAAAAGCTAAGCTATTGACCTCCCCCCCATGCTAGGCAGGGGATGGCGGTAGCTTAGATTTTGGGTTATTAACTGTCACGCATTTTATCGTGTGCATGTGCATCAGTCATGGCATATCACATTATGCATTACGCATTGTATAGCATCATCTATGCATTATGCATGCATCTATGTATGATTATTACAGCATCATCTGATAATAAAACATATAATGCAAACAGTACAGCAAATATGCACTAAACAACAGCAAATTAATCATACAGTTTTATGTCAGAATCACTAGGCAAGAATGATGAACTAGCAGAAGTTTGGGTACAAATATGAAACCCTAGTTGGGGTTGTACCCCATATTGGCTACCCCACTACAGCCTACAAGCATACTACAGTTTAACACACCCCCATAGGCAAAGTGGGGGAGAACAAAGGGTCACAAGACCAGTCCAGCAAAGCAAAGCAACGCCCAGGGTGGATCACAACGTCACCACACTCCGAGCACAAGTAAAGGCCACAAGGCCAGTTCACATGCAGAGCTAGATATAGTACAAGACAAGCAACACAGTGATCAAAAACCTAGCAAGCAAGCAACAAGATATATATAAAGTACAGTACAAAGAATGTCAAGCAGTGAGCAAGTGAGGAAACGTGGACACAAGGCCTAAAGAAGTACAGTGCCGCTGATGATCACTAGGCGGGAGCGCCTTGGTGAAGATATCAGCAGTGTTGGCCTTCGAGTCCACGTACACAAGCCGAAGCTGACCGCGCTGCTGAAGCTCTCGAGCAAGAAAGTAGCGAAGAGCAATGTGCTTCGTCCTGTGCTCCAGTCTGTGCTCCTGACACAAGGCAAGAGCCGCCTTGTTGTCACCGTACAGAACTGGCGGAGAACTAGGCCGCTCTCCCAAGTCAGTCAGCAGGTAGGTGAGCCAGCGTAACTCCTGTGCAGCCATGGCTGTGGCGTAGATCTCAGCCTCACAACTAGAGCCGAGAACAGAGGAAGAGCGGGTGGACCGCCACGAGACAGAACCTGAGCCAAGGCTGAAGGTGTAACCCTGTGACGACCGCTGCGTAGCCAGGTCGTCCACCCAAGAGGCGTCCGAGTGACCAGTGAGGACAACTCTGTCGCGTCCTCCAAGCACCAGCCCCATGCCTGATGTACTGCACAGGTAACGCAGCACCCTCTTAGCAGCCTCCCAGTGCTCTCGCCTGTGTCTCCCAGGCGCAACGTAACGAGCAAGGATGCTAAGAGGGTACGCGAGATCAGGTCGCGTGCAAGTCATCAGGTACATGAGGCAGCCTACAAGCTCTGGGTACGGGCCACTCGGCTCTACGGACTCGTCCGAAGGTGGAGCTGAGAGCGAGTGGCTGGTAGCCAGAGGTGTGGCCTGTGGTGAGGAGAACTGGAAGCCGAAGCGCTGAAGGACCTGCTGCACCATGTGTGACTGAGTCAGGGTGATGGTGCGGCGAGCTCTGTCCCGGGTGATCTGCAAGCCAAGGTAGCTACGCAGTTCACCCAGGTCAGTGCAGGTGTGTCTCTTCTGCAGCTCCGACTTCACACGAGCGAGTGCCTCAGTGTCAGCAGTAGCAAAGACCAAGTCGTCGACGTACACGAGAATGTAGAACGGCGGCAGCGACGTGTCTGTGCGCAGAAACAGCGACGGGTCAGCAGTAGACGGCGCGAACCCAAGAGCCGCAAGAGTAGTCCTCAGTGTGTCGTGCCACTCACGTGGCGCCTGGCGGAGACCGTAGACTGGCCGGCGGAGACTCCACTGGGTACCAGGGGGAAAAGACCCAGTAAAGCCAGGTGGGCGGCGCAGCCAGATCTCCTCGTGCAGGCTGCCCTGCAGGAACGCTGTGCTGAAGTCAAGAGAGTGAAGCTCGTAGTCACGCTGAGCAGCAACGTGCAGCAGAACCCGAAGAGTGGTCATCTTCGGGGTGGGGGAGAAGGTCTGGAAGAAGTCGACCCCCTGACGCTGACTGAAGCCTCTAGCAACGTAACGAGCCTTGAAGACAGGCGGAGAACCTGGCGGCCGCTTCACCCTGAAAATCCACATGCCATCGACGATGTTCGCCCCAGGAGGGGGAACCTCGTCGACGTAGGTGCCTGTGGACTTCCAGGATGCCATCTCTGCGTCCATGGCTGTCTGCCACTGAGAGGAGTAGGGACCCGAGATCGCCTCTGCGTAAGTGCGCGGAGTGGGGATGTCTAGTGCATCCGGGTCTCCCTCAAGGGCAAGCAACCAGGCCACGAGATGAGGTACAGCAGTCGCAAGAGAGTCAAAGTCCTCCTGCCTGTCCTCAAGGACGTCCGTGCCAAGAGCACACTCACCCCCGACGGACGGAGGACAGACAGACGTAGACTCTGACTCAGCAACAAGGCTAGCAGCGTAGTCTAGACGACAGGCAGCAGCAAAGTCAACCAACTCAGCGACCAGAGCAGACGCAGCCGAGGACTCAAAGGTAGGGTCAGTGACAACAGTAGCGAGGAGACGCGTGACTGTAGGGTGCTCAGCGCGATACCGGTCAGACTCAGGGTCCGGAACGGCAGGCAAAGAGGACGCAGGAGGAGACGGTAGAGGGACACGCCGAGGAGCAGTAGAGGGACGCAGAGTCATGTAGTGAGTGCCTGGGACAGGAGGAGGACGCTCACGACGGACACGACTACCAGTGCGAGCAGGACGAACAGGCGACGCAGGACGAGACTCAGGCTCACGACGCTCTGTAAGACCTCCTGTGGGACCAGTATAAGGAGAGGGAGCAGGGAGAGGCGAGGCAGGCGGTAACTGTGACTGCGGCTGGACAGGCGGAGGACACTCTACGGAGGGAGGAGGACAAGGAGGAGGAGCCTGCCCAAGAACCTGCTGAAGGAGCGGTACGTAGTACGGTCGCGGCCGCGCAGCGTCTCCAGAAGCAGAAGGGACTCCAGCGGCCGGGTCCTCAGCACCAGTAGGAGCTCCAGCGTCCGGGTCCACAGCACCAGCAGCAGCTCCACCGGCCGGGTCCCCAGCTCCAGCAGCAGCTCCACCGTCCGACTCCTCAGCACCAGCAGCAGCTCCACCAGGTGGGTCCGCAGCACCAGCAGCAGCGCCACCCCCAGAGTCGGCAGCTCCAACTCCGCTAGCACCGCCAGCGCCAGAGTCCCCAGCTCCAGCAGCTCCAGTCGCAGTGCTCCCAGAACAGCCAGTCCCGGCAGCTCCAGTACCCCCAGTACGAGCACCCCCAGGACGAGCAGCTCCAGCACCCCCAACTCCAGCCGAGCCACTAGGACGGCGAAAGCGTCGGACGTACCAGTCACGAAGCTGCTGCGGTGTGAGAGACTGCTCAGCACCCCGAACCGGAGCACCCCCAGACACAGTAACCCGAGGCTCCGTAGGCTCAGTAGCAGCACCCCCAGGCTCAGTACCCGCAGGCTCAGCACCCCCAAGCTCAGCACCCCCAGTCGCAGCACCCCCAGGCTCAGCACCCCCAGGCCTCGCACCCGCAGGCTCAGCACCCCTAGGCGCAGCACCCCCAGGCTCCGTACTCTCAGGCACCGTACCCTCAGCTCCAGCACCCTCAGTCCCAGCACCTGCAGCCCCAGCACCCCCAGGCCCAGCACCCCCAGGCTCAGCACCCCCAGGCTCAGCACTCCCAGCAGCACCACCCGCAGCAGCACCTGAGTCACCTGTGACCTCGACAGGCTCAGCGACGGGAGGAGGGTCTACCTGAGAGACACCTGAAGGAGCAGGACCCTGAGGGGGAAGGGGGTCTACCGGAGGGGGATTAGGAGCAAGGAAAAGCGGCGGGGGAGGGAGGGGGGCAGTGCGGTAGGGGAAGAGACGGTAAAAGGGGACCGACTCGTCAAAGGTGACATCCTGAGAGGCGAAGACCCGGCGCGAGGTGGGGTGGTAAAACTGCCAGCCAGGCGCGTCAGGGACAAAGCCAAGGAAGACACAGGGAAGCGTGCGGGAGGAGAGCTTGTCCGCAGACGTATCGCGGACAAGGGCACGAGCACCCCACACCCGGAAGCGCGACGCATCGCCAACCTCCCCCGTCCAACGCAGTGTGGGCGAGGTCTCCGGCAAGGAGACACGGGGCCAGAGGTTGAGCTGATGCGCGGCGTACCGGACAGCAAACGGCCACAGAAAATGGGGAGCCGCCGCGTGGACCAAGGAGGTACGAGCGACCTCCATGACCAGGCCAATGCGACGCTCAGCAACCCCATTCTGCTGTGGGGAGTCCGGAAGCGTGAAGGTCTGCTCGATGCCCTCCGCCTGACAGAAGGTCCTCAAGAGGTCGGAGGAAAACTCACCACCTCTGTCAGAGTGCAGACGCAGGACAGGAAGATCCGTCCGGAAACGGCGGCGG